CAAACTCACTCAAAAGGTCAAAGACAGCGGCATTAGCCATGCAGGGGCATCGGACGGGGGGCGGCGCCTCGCGCGGCCCGGGACGGGTGGACGGAGAGATTCGCCGAACCGGAATTCAGCCAGTCCCGGCAGTCGTGAATGAAATGACAGCGAGCTATGAGCGTTTCCGACAAGGCACTTCCTCGTCGGGTGAGAACGCTGTCGACGTCCGGCTGCATGTGACCTCGAGACCGTGCACTATTCGACACCGCGCCGTGGAAACCAAACAAGTCAGGGTGTTTGATTGAAGATGGTTCGGTTTTTGGCCGATTGAACTACTTATTTCTCTAAGTGACTTGACAACATTATCAAATGTTGAAGGAAACATTACGGATAACATCCTATTCGAGTGCTGTTAGCTCTGGTTTCATTTATCGTAAAGAAACTTTCCTCGAATTTGTTAGTTTTTCATTTTCTTGTCCAATATATCTGAGTGTATCATGTTGAGTCTCTGGAAGGCTGAACATACCATTTAGTGTACTCTGGCATGCAGAGCAGACACGCTCGCGTTATTTAATGGCGCGCAAGTATGGCCGTTATTCTCGGCGGGGCGCGGGGTGTCTGACCTCCAGGCGGAACCGGCGGCGGAAGCGGCCGCGCTGGAACACCGCCACCAGTTCGGCGACGGATTGTTACCGAGACGGCGGCGGTTCCGGAGCGAACGGTTCCGAGTACGGCGACCGCGCCGCGCCGCGCTAAAGGTCCCTAATCACACCGGCCTGCCAACGCGCGCCGCGCCGGCAGCCGCGCCTCTTCCGCTCGCCGGCCGGACGGATACAGCCGCCGTGTCGTGCATTTTTCATGAGTTTGTAACCGGCCGTTCCCGGTATTAATGAGATTTTAGGAAAATGCCGGCGAAATCCACAGGGCATTCGTGTACATATTTGTGAATGTGACATCCAAGTCATGGCATAACGGGTAGATGTTTAATTATTTATGCGTGTTACCGCGGACTGCGCCCCGGACGCAATGGCTCGTCTTTTTATCATGTGCGGAATTGTCTGAGGATTGATCGTCGCGGCCTGATGGACGGCTCTCGTTATAGGCAAAGTCTTCACGCCCTTGGCGAGGTCCATTTGACTGCAGGCAAATGATGTAGACTAGTTTGCCAATTACCCTTCATTCTATCCGCCATTTCTGGACGAGTTAAATGTTCATTCTGATAAGCAGTGCATTAGAAGTATAAGTTCATGCATTACATTATGATTTCATCTACTATGGACGTCAAACCCCTTGAGACCCCACTTTTTTGCGATAATTTTTAAATGCGTCAACTCTCATTGACAATATTCTGGCAATGTGTGTTTTAGAACCTGCCGAAACTTTTATTACTAAGGTATTTTGACGGCAAACGATTATGAAAGGTACTTCTCATTCACTCGTAATGTTAAATTTCACGGAACGAATCTGCTCTTTGGGTAGAGGCTACGCGCTCATGGGGCGGAGCCACGCAATGACGTCAGCGCTAAGCTCCGCCCTACCCCTCCGGCGCTCCTTGCCCGGCGACCGGTCACTCGCGTCTCTCGCTCCATTCAGGCTTGATGGTGGGCGGTAGCTGATAGCGGTAGCGGGCGCTGGTAGATGGCATTTAGAGCAGATGGCGCTGGTGGCGGGGCTCGAGTGTGGCCGAGCGCAAGCCTCTGCCCGGGCCTGAATTGACCTTAGCATTACGAGTGAATGAGAAGTACCTTCCATAATCGTTTGGCGTCAAAATACCTTAGTAATAAAAGTTTCGGCATGTTCTGAAACATACATTGCCAGAATATTGTCAACGAAAGTTGACGCATTTAAAAATTATCGCAAAAAAGTGGGGTCTCAAGGGGTTTGACGTTCATAGTAGGTATGTATTTATGCGCTATCAGTCTATCTGAATAGACAGTTACTTTTTCTCAAAGTCAATGATATTTCACACAGGTATAGCATAATGCTGCCTCGAGATCATAGGTGGAACTTCGTGCCGAGCTGGGAGGGCCCGAGCTCTCCAAATTCGACGCCGGCTTGGCTTTGGAGCCGCAACAGACCGCGGAGGTCAAGGTCACCGCTAGGGCAGCGGCCGATTTGCTGCGCCCGGGCCCTCCCAGCTCCGCATAAAGCTCCGCCCGGCTCGAGATTTACACTAAAAACGTACCTGCCTGTTTTTTTTTTGGGGGGGGCGCCATATGTAGGTACCTACCTACAGGATAGACCAAACCAATTTTATTGCGGAAGCTTTCGCTGTCAAGTGTAAATATACTGATCAGCCTCCCAGAAATAGCGCTATATCCTCATCAGACACTAAATTATTACCAATGTCCTGATACCACTGGTCCCAATAAAACGATCCGAAGCAAATATTTTATCATCAAGTTTTGACCTTATAAAGCACAGCCACAGACAAGTGCCATTTTGGTTTCGTGATGTGATTTAGATCGTCTGGCTTTTGTATGATACTGTGCGAAAAAAGGCAGTTTGTTGCTGTTATATTATGATCCTGCAGATGTCTGCAGCATTGCCACATAGCAAGCAGTGGTTCCACACAGTTACACCTTCTGTAACTCTCAGATCGTCCTCCGGCGCACCGTGTATTGAACGCCAGAGCGACTCGAAGCCGGTCTGTGAACCCGGCAGTACGACTGATTTCGCCAAATGGACTCCAATTTCTCACAGAACAAATGAAACTCCTTTTCGTTTGACAAAACTTTGGCCACACGTTGGATAGTTGTACCATATTTTTCAGACGCTGACAAACGGCAGGTTGTGCGCTGAGTTTAACAATTTCAGGGAAACACTTCTCATTGTCTCGAGAATGGCCCTTGACGTCTCGAATAAAGGCACTTTGGCGCAATGATTTTGACTGAAACGGCCCAATAAGTGCCGACTGACGCCGTGCTATGGAGCTCCGGTCCGGCCGGCGCGCCTATGATCCAGTGACGTCAGCTAGGGCTCCCCGTGGTCCAGTGACGTCAGGCTGTGCTGCCCGGTGGTCTGCAGTGACGTTAGACCGGACTGTTCCGTTGCCCTGCGGTGTCACTCCGGTCCCGGTGTCGCCGGAGACGGACGGTGCGGACAGTTCCATCCATCTCGTCCCGTCTCGGTGGACGGTGACACCGCGCCGGACCCGCCTCTGACCGCCGACAGCCGGAGCGGCGCGACCCGCACAGATCCGGAATCCGTCACTGTCCGCCCAGAGAGCCGCCCATAGATCCGCCCGGAGATCCACCCATAGATCCGCCCGGAGATCCGCCCACACGGCGCGCGGCGGTCCGGCACAGATGCGCCTCCCCCTCCCCCTCAGTCCGGGACTGTCTCAAAGGTCCGCGGCTCGAAACTTTCCAATTTGGCGCTGCCGGTGTGGGCCCAACTGTCCCTGGCGGCGGGCTGCCAGCTGGAGCCAGCCGTTTGTATCAGATGCTGCAGACCCGTGGCGGGCAACTTATCTGCGCGCCAGCCTCTCATAATGCTGCTAGAAAATATATCTAGAATTTCTAAATGTCCCATTGGGGAATTTTCATGGCCATATTGAAATGTGATTGCCTCTTTTCTATAGCAATCGTTTGGCGCTCAATTAATAACAGTTTGCCATCAAAGAGTTTGCTGTGGAATAAAAAAGCAAGGCCATATATAAGAAAACATTCATAACAACGGTTTATCAGAGTAGTTTGTGATGCTAATATTGAAAGTCCTGTCCTTCTGGAGATGTGTTAGATATTGACTATAAAAAAGATATCTTCCTATTGACTTATAGGAAGATATCGCCTTAAAAGAAAGTTTTCGTCCCTACCTGGTTGATGAGTTGACCAGATGACTAAATAAACACTCATGCCTCAAACTCAGAAAATTCGCACTTTTATGCTAGGCATTCTCGCTTATACTTATTTGGCTTTGACTAACCAGTAAGCGGGTGAAACAGCGCTGAGTTGATCCGTGCATTAGTATTCCTGTAACCTGGTCTATAAGCACACACATGGGTGGATGAATCAATCAAGACGCTCGATTCCATCCCAGTAATTGGGGCAGGCATTAGAGGATTGAGCTGTAGCGCGGTGCACCTCGCCACGACCGCGTGTTCGGCCCCAGAACCGGGCCGTTGCCGTAATCCAATCACCATAGGGCGGCCACCCACCCCATCCAAAATTCAGCTCTTCATCAACGCCGAGCATGCCGCTCAGCATGAAAGCCACACGAAATGAGCACGGAGTCTGTGTCTCAATGTGGGCCTCAAGATCAAAGGCGAAACAACGGCACTCATCGGTCGAATACAGGGTAATTCGCCCCAGTTTGGGGGATGAACTTTTATGGGACTGTCTCTGTAAATTTTTTGAATAAAATGTACGGACGATATAAATAAAGATGCTTCCTATGCTTTATAGGATGCTTTATATCATGATAAAGATGCTTCCTATGACAGATCTTTCTCCACTGCTATGCAAAAGCTTGTGAAATGATGTGAGTGACCGCAAACCATTCATGCATTAAACATGATTTTTGTGCACGTTTTCCAACCATCACCTACATATTCACTGAAGCGCCCACCAATTTTGCTGGATTACCGTGGCTGAATGTCTTTATCAACCACATGTATTTTATCACGGATATGCATAAAATGCAAAACGCATTTACAGTCACCTGCTGGTTTGCCTGTGCCATTGTCGTGCTCTCGCACAATCGCCAACGTTGTTGGTCGGAAACTGCGTGAACCGTGATTGTTTTGTAAAACATTACTCGTTCTCACCCTTAAACGTTCTCTGATTGATAAGTCATCTTGAACTCAGGTGCTTCATATTCAATTGTGTTGATACGGGCGTTTTTTTCACAATTTAAGTCCCAACCTTCGGATCCGCAGTGCTGTTCTATTCGATTGTGTTGCTAATGTGTGCCTTCCTTGCATTGTGTCGTTGCCCTGATTCGTGTTGTGCTAGCCGTGTCCTGGGGTCCGTGTGCCAGCGGATCCGGTCTGTGACCATGCTCGGGTGCGTTTTCAGGGCGCCGGTTGTACCGCTCTCCTAGTGGCCGTCGTCTCCAGAAAGCTGGAGCTCACGCGCGCAGAGAAACACGTCCATAACTTCATGATGGACACGCAGCTCACAAAAAGGGTGAGTCCGTAAAGTTCTGTTAGAATCTAGCACTGCCCATTTAGTAAATTTTGAACGTATAGTAGCGCGTCGGAATGTAGTGCAGTGATATTTTATCATTATGGCCTCATATCAAATGTGAGTTACCGCAGCACTCTTTGATAAGAGAAAGGTTACGCCCCGATATCGGAAGGCTTGCAAGATCAGTGTGTAGTGTTCCAATGAAATGCAGCGTCATCTTTCGTTTTGTCTTTTCCACTGGAGGCGAACATCGGAAAGATTCCTTAAAGGGACCCTCCCACCTTCAAAAAAGTTAATGAATTGGCATAAAAGTGATGTAGCGTGAATCACAAAGAGCGAAAATGAACATCTACCAAATTTTACCGGAAAATATTCACCCGTTTTCGAGATATAAGACTTTTATTTTTGTTTACTTTTTGGGAACTCCGCTGTTTCTATGACGTCACATAAAGGTTTTCTTTACGTCGGCATTTGGAAGCAATAATTTGGTATCAAAGTGCGACAAATATTGCGCGAATGATGCGTTTATCTTATCAAGGTCAATATATGATGGCCAATGAAGGATTCCAGGACAATTCTTCCTATGGCATTTCTTCGTATCGCAATTCTTCGTCTGCAAATCTTCGTCAGGGCATTTATTCGTATCGCATTACTTTGTCTCGCATCAGGGTATATGAAAATCGGCTCGCATTTCTTCTTCAACGCAAATATATGCAAGAGTAAGCATTGAGGGACAAATAAATGCACCGACGAAGATTTGTAGACGAAGAAATGCGGACGAAAAATTGTGCTACGAAGAAATGTCATGCGAGGATTTGTTCGGGTACCATGACATTTATGTGATTTCAAAGTCAAGGTTCACAGCTGATTTGCTAAATCAAGCCAAGAATCCAAACTATCAAAAAACTATAAATATTTGTTTGTCACAGAGGTCTCAAGCAATATAAGGTTTACATATGTTGAATCAAAAATCTACTGCCACAACTCACATCTCCTGCCTTAGTTTATCATTGTTGTTTTAACTTGCTTTCAAGAGAAACGGAAGCCAGTATCTGATATCACTTCAGATGATTGTTTCAAGATCTGAGTTCAAATGGAAATAAAAGCAAGATCAAGATGAAACAGGGATTATTGCTGTTAAAGTAGTTTGGCCATGATACAACAAGCACATAAATCATTAGCCAAATCAAATACTGGTTGGTTTGTCAAGATGTTTGTTGTCTGTCGTCTGTCGAGCTGCTATGAACACTGAACGCTCTCACTCTTACTTTGAAGAGAGTAGTTTAAGTTGAATGGTAGTGAGCTGTAATTAGACAAAGCAGCTATTCAGTGCTCACATCAAGCCAGGCTAGGAAATGGCATCAACTGTGGTGGGAGGAAGCAGGTTCGGCAGCCCTATATGTTGTAAACTTCTGTTGTGTCTTGTGTTTGATCAACTGATGTTTTCTGCTGTTTTGTGCAGTGATAGTAGCAGGTAACTGCATGCTTGTCAAATTATGTGAATAAACGAATTCATAACATTGCATTTTTCTCTCCATGCAAGGAACAAGTAAGATGTTGTAGAAAATGTAATAGAGGGCTGCATTGCTGATTTTGCACTTTATCAGAGCTTTATTTAGAATTGCTTTCCTGAAAGCTACACACAGGCCACAGTACTGAAATTCACAATGTCATAGCTTTTGGCAGAAAAAAGAAAAGACTTACCTAGGTAAAATTGGCTGAAAGTATGGCAGAGCAGGTCTTGATGCGTATGCCCATCCGTGTGCTTGCCGAAGCCGAACTGACTGCAACACATTAACTCTGACCCACCATGGTGGCTGGCATATCCTGAACTTTCACCACTCTAAACAAGACAACTTTCAGCCCTCAGCATTGTATTAAAACACTGTACATGACACTCAAAATTTGTTTCAGTGCCATCCACGGACATCAGTCGCCATTCATCAGGCCAGTAAAAACAGAATAGATAATAGCTTCAAACCCATGTAGTCAGAGTTACTAGGTCTCCACCTCAAAACAAAATCCAGGTGACATTCACCACGCCAGTAAAAAACAGGTACTTAGGTAACGTAACAGCTTCAAATCTGGTAACATGTTGGTCGGACTTTACACTACCATATTTACATGGAATAATATGATACCAAACAATAGTGCAACCATTCTGGATAACAAAAGTGTATGATAAAATTAATTTAGAAAACTTTGGCAGCATGATTTACGAGCACAGGCAGGTGTTACCTACCAGCCTTCTCAATGCTCGTAAAACCAACATTGTGGTTTTGATTTTACCTTACATGATAACACACTTGGCTGCAATGGCACATTTAATTTTATACTGTGAAAAGACCAGTTATAACCACTTCACAAGCACAATTGCACCTCATGCCGACATCTTTTACCAAAGACAGTCAGCAGCGTCTTTCGTCAAAACTGGATGATTAATCCCCTTTCAACTGTTAACATCAAAAATATTTCTTCATTGTGTGATCTCCATATGGAAACCTTGCAGGAAAAGAATTAATGTCAATTGTCAGCTCTTCAAAATTTCTTTGGACTTTAACTTGGAGTACCATATCCAGTTTGCTTTGATATTTTGTTTTTTATTCCATGTTGAAGTTGAACACCAAGCTCCAGATATAGCAGGCAGCTTGATCATCTTCGGCCTTGGTATAATATCAGTCCAAGTTCCAGTGGTGGGTATCTTCTAATATTCAAATTAAAATGAAAAGCAATAGTGATAGGCTTTCTCAGCGCCGACGACGGATTTCACGTTGATAACAAAGGGAGCTCAAGGTCAGCAAAACTCGGGTTCAAGGAATGGCGGGCGTTGAAATGACTGCTGACGTCATCAAGAAACCGCTAATGGTTAAGAGATAGGGACTAAGCTGCAGAGCTGGGCAAGTGCGTTCCTTTAGTGCGTTCCTGCGTTCTTCCGTACGTACGCACCGCCCTTTTTAGGAACGCAAGAACGCAGGAACGGAAAGTTTTTCAAAGGAACGCAAGTAAGAGGAACGCACCACCCGAAATTTTGAAGCGTTCCTGCGTTCTTGCGGAACCACCCGAAAAATTATACTCGTATTGCTGCCAATGACCTCTGTGTCAAATGTTTGAATCTCGAGTACGTGTGTTTGCCGGTAGAGGCGCCACTTGTGGGTCGAATCGAGGAAGGCTTGCTTAGATTTAGTGCTGATGTTTACTATTCGATTAGGTTTCAGGCATTAAATCATAAATGTGTAAATATTTTTAGAGGTGATGTTTACTATTCGATTCAGTTTCAGGCATTAAATGTGTAAAGTAAATATGATAACTTTTACTAAGATACATCTTTTAACTTAACTATTGTTTTTAAGCAGGTCGTATTTTTGTTGAAAACCCTACGGATGATATTGGTAAAACGTATTTCAGATATTCGATTCGGAAAAGAGCTGTCGAGCTGCTTTTCGGCCCCACGTCGCCATTCTGGGTATTCTGTGATCGATTCGCCCCGTGTTTGGTTGGGCCCGCGCCGCGTGGTTCGGCGGTATTTTTGAGGGAGGAACGCAGGAACGCAGGAACGCTAACGCACCGAGCGAAAAAAAAAATGAGGAACGCTATTCCAGGAACGCACTAACCGCGGCCGGAGGAACGCAGGAACGCTAACGCACTACCGAAAATCGAGGAACGCGCCCAGCTCTGCTAAGCTGGTCCCACCCTGCAAGTAAAGGGAAGAAATTTCTTGAACACCATAAAGCTGCGGGGGTTGCGACCAGGATAAATGGTGGTTTCTGAGCCTGGCCGCAAACTTGGCTATCTCAACTCAAAACTAATGTTAAGGTGGGATGGTCCCTTTAATTCTTTGTGTTATAGAAAGAATACGGCTCGTAGATCAGTTCGTAGGTCGAAGTCGAAACGTCGAAACGTCGAACTTCGTCGATAACATCCAAAACACTTACCAATTAACGTGTAAACCACGTGTCGATTATGCGTAAGCAACGTGCCGATTGCGTGCAAACCATCCCGATGATTACGTGCAAACCACGTACCGATTACGGTCAAACCACGTACCGATTACGGTCAAACCACGTGTTGATTACCTGCAAAATACCTGCCGATTTCGTGCAAACCACGTGTCGAAAGCTTTAGAGAACGTGCGGCGCTTATGCGTACAAAGCACGTCATGTGTTGCGTAAAACAGGTTGCACTCAGTTGTCGGCCAATCTGATGGTATCGTCATGAGGCGCCGTCAGGCGTAGGTACTGGGAGGGGTCACGTGACTTCACCGTCTGTCCTTGGCCACGGTCAGGGGTGGTCTCCTGACTCATCACGTGACCACACCGTCCGTGCCGCTCCATCTCGCCGCGCTGACCTGCTGAGCTGTCCCAGTCGGCGACACTACTAGACACTGACTGCCGCGGTCCGCAGAAAAAAACTCAGCAGCGTCGCGCGCCGGCCATTGGCATTCCGCCCTCGGACGGAGAGGCTATAGCAATTGGCGAGAACGGCCGGCCCGCTCTGCGGCGCTTTGTAGCGAGCCCACCGATTGACCGCAGCGGCCGGCCGCAATCAATCCGCGACCGCCGCGCGCCGCCGGCCCCCACAAATGAATGGCCCACCGGCCACCGCCAAATGAAACATTTGTTTCGCAAAACTTGTACCGCTGTAATGGCTCTCCTGGGGCTAGGAACATAATTGAAAATCGTTAGACGTTGGCGTTAAAATGTTTTACGACTTCCTACGCTTACCAATAAGGCCCGTCGCATTTTGTATGGCTGTTGAGCAAAGGTCGCTTTTTATTGCTGCTCCAATAAGGAGCGGAAAGTCAATAGCATGTTTCTTTCTTACAGTTATGTGAGTTTCTGCTTACTCGGGAAATTTAAGGATAGATTGGACCAACAGCTGCTACCAGCCTGGTGCATTTCCACACCAGTTAACTGCGTTAGTTACAATTTGATGCCGCCTATGCGTGCCAAATAAAGCGTCTACTTGTCGTTGTTGGGCCCCTCTGGTCCTGTTGAGCCTTAGGACACGACACTCATAAGCTCTGCCGAGCATCTGGCTGGATCTCACCTTGAGCGAAATTTGCATCACCAGCTAGGACCTGCCGCGCAGCGCCAATAGACTCCGCCGCGTCGGCCTGCGGCTCGGGACGAACAAACGACCTACCCCTAATGAGCTGCGCCGGTAGTCAAAGCAAACGGGCGCTGTCGGGCCGCCTCCGTGACCGGCCGACTCGACCGCCGCGTGACGCGCCCGCTCGTTCATAGGGCCAATTACGCTAATTGGCCGCGGCAGCGCACGAGATGGGGCCAGTCAACAGGCGCCGGTCGCGGCCGGCGCGGCGGTCCGAGCGGCGGTCCGAGCGGGGCGGCGGGCGGCGCCGGGCTTCGTTTAGTTCGGGCCGCTCTGTCAATATTGAGTCGGCGGCTGTTTGTGTATCCCGATGGCGCCGTCAGTCAGCGGAATTGGCCGGTGAGCTGCTCTAACACCGCGGCAGAGCGGCTGGCCGTGGGAGATCTCCCGGCCCGGCCTTTGTGCCCAGTGCGTGGACGGTACACGTGCGCCCGGACAGGGGCGGATCGATAGGACGGCCTGGGAGCTGTGGGCGGCTGATAGCACCGAGCCAGCTTCTCAGAGGGACGCGGAGGGACTCCTCAGAGGGACGCGGAGGTACTCCTCAGAGGGACGCGGAGGTACTCCTCAGAGGGACTCCTCACGTGCACAGAGGGACTCCTCAGAGGGACGCGTCTCCTCATAGGGACGCAGAGGATGGTTCAACACTGCCGAAACGCACTGGAGGCGTAACGATGCTGAGACGATAAGTACGAGTGTATAAAAGGATACACAAGAATAATTAGCTGCTCGCGTGCACTAAGCCCCATGTTTCTGATACACTAAATTAATTTGCAGGGAGCGTTGTGTCAGATGAATATCAGATAACTCAGTGTGTCCAGTGAGGGAGTTTCTCCAGCGAAATTGAGTTTGATAAGCATGAGATATGTGAGGCATACTGTTGCCAGCTATTAAGTCTGAAGGCAGCTCGGTTTCTGGTCTCATGGCGGCTCAGATAATTATGAAATGAGATAGCTAACTATCTTAGTATATGGAGGACGGGGGCATGTTGCCCGCTGCTGCGGCGAAATGTGGAGTTCTTATTAATGAACTATTATAAAACAATTCAAACCTTTCAAACGCTGGGCCAGGCCAGAAAGCGTTGGAGACCGCTCATTTGCTGCTATAGTCAGCAGTCCGCGGAGTTTCGTCGCCACACGGCCTTCGCTTTTTGCCTCTTTGAGGCTTTTTCTCTGAGGTGAGCGTGTTTTTCGTGAAGTTCGACTCCGACGGAGGACACTGTTTCAGCTCGCAATCGGGAATCTCCCAGGGTTTTCGGCATCAAAAGAAAGGTCATAGGGTTGTTTTGGAAAGACGATGTGGCTCTAGTCTGATCGAAGCCCTGTCGGACCGGCTTTCGCTGAGACGGTGCGAATGGTGACGGAAGGCTTCTGCCACGGACGGTGCCTCCATTTTGCCCCCGTTTTTGTGGTGCCGGCTCCTGCTACCCGTTCCCTTCGCCTCCGTTGGCGCCGTGCTAGGTGGACGGTGACACAGAATGAGCATTAGGCGCGGCCATCAATTCGGATAGAGCTTCATTAGGCTTACAGAGCATTCCGGCAGGCCGTTGTGGCCCGGTGTGTTAATTGACGGCAGCGTCGGGCCGCCGCGCCGTGCCACCAATGCCGGCTGTGGCCGCCGCTCCGCCATTGTGTAGGACTTCATGTGACTCTGTGGAGTGTGCAGAGCATTGTTAAAGGCGGCCGACGAGGCCCTTCGTTAAAGTTCATTCAGTACCTTTATTCTTCTGCGTCAATGTAGCGCTGTTCATCATTTCGCCGCACACAATGATGACGGTGCTGCGACTGGGAATGGCTGCCGTTTGGAGACTGTCGCAGACCGCTGACTGACTCTGACGTTCGTTCCAGTTGAAAAACTCAGCAGCCAACGTGCTCAGGGAGACGTGGCTCATCTACAAGTACACCAAACTGGTGAAACGGGTCAACCCGGGAAGAGTGAGGACGCACCAGCGCAAGTTTCTTCTCGCCATATACTCGTGAGTTTCTGGAAAACGTAGCAGTCCCAGCTGTGCATTCCTTGGCTTCCTTGTACCTGCTGTGCAGCCATACAAGCGTCTTTAAGAAAACGCGCATCGAACAAAGAAAGAATGTCAATTAAGTTGCAAGAGTACTTATCTTTTGATATTTGAATTAGCATCAAATGCTCGATACCGCTAGAAATCATACCCTTAAGTTAGAAATAGCATACTTTGGAGAAATGAATGATGCTGCATCTATTGATTATCCTATTTCTAATTAGCATTGCGCTAGCTATAAGCCATTGTTTAACAATCACATGACTTAATTGGCTGTTGCATTTAGTTCAGGCTGAACAAACGTCAGATTTTGTAGTCTGTAACTTATTTTGTAATCTGACCGTTCAAGCTTTCCTAAGTTACGCTTCTGTGATGTTTTATAATGCATTGTTTCGATTTGCTGTTTTCAGATTACGAAAAGTGAAAATGGATCAGCGCAAACTTATGGACAATGCGAGTACGATCACAGACATGGCAAAGGTAGGTTACCTGTGTGTTGGAGCTGTGCACGCGGCTGAGACAACATACGTAACAAGTGCTGTCAATCAAGTGGCCTGGGTGATGGGTATTAACTTTGAGGAGTTGAAAACAATGCGTTTTCTCTAAGCATAAAATAATATCGGGTGGTATCTGAATACCAGTATAACGCCTTTTGGGGCGACTAACGGAGCGAGCGAGGGGGTGAGTCTTGCACGTGCGAAATTTCGAGGGGGTACCTCCAACTGACTTGTGCACGGCACCCTAGGTACTGACCGGTTTCTAGCGATGTGCCAAATTTGAGCACAATCGGCCCAGCCGTTCTCGAGATCTGAGAGCGGCACCCTGCACGTGCGCACGTGCAAAATGGGTCCCAACTGACTTGTGCACGGCACCCTACTAACTGGTCCCTAACCGTGTACCAAATTTGAGCGCCATCGGTCCAGCCGTTCTCGAGATCTGGAAACGACCCCTGCACGTGCGCACGTGCAGCAGCACCCCAACTCTGGCACATGGATATGCAGTGCCTAGTGGGTGCCTACCTACATGCGCAATCGGCCAAGTAGTTACCGAGATATTGCAACAATTACAAAAGTGACACCTCTTCGTTTTGCACGTGGCACGTGCATAAGGGGTCACCCACATGCATCGGGAATAGTCCAATACTTAGGTAGAAGGAATGAAGCTACCCTACAAAAATTACCGCGTGTAAATCGGTCAAGTGGTTGCTGAGATATAAGCCTCGCAAAAGCGTCCGCACGGCCGGCCGGCCGGCCGCTCATACTCAGAAATTTCCGTTAATCTAAGAAAAGACTACGCTCGCTTCGCTCGCTCCGTAATAAGTGATAAACTTAACCAGTAAAACGCCTTTTGGGCGACCAACGGAGCGAGCGAGAGGATGGGCCTTGCACGTGCGAAATTGCGAGGGGGTACCTCCAACTAACTTGTGCACTGCACCCTACTAACCGGTCTTTAGCGATGTGCCAAATTTCAGTGCAATCGGCCTAGCCGTTCTCGAGATCTGGAAGCGGCACACTGCACGTGCGCACGTGCAAGCGGGGTCCAAACTGACTTTTGCACGGCACCCTACTAACTGGTCCCCAACCGTGTACCAAATTTGAGCGCAATCGGCCCAGCCGTTCTCCAGATCTGGGAGCGCCCCCTGCACGTGCGCACGTGCTGTAGCACCCCAACCTTAACACATGCAGATGAATTATCTGATGGAGACCTAACTGTGTACCGAGTTTCAATTCAATCGGCCCAACCGTTGTGCCGTTATTAAGGTTGCAATTTTGGGGGTTCTTAAAAAATGTCCAACTTTACCACGCGCCACGTGCGGTGTTTGGCAAGAACGCATGGTGGCCATCACACCACAGAACTTTTACGTCCAAGTGACATTCAGTAAAGAAGACCGCTTGTCAATCGGATGTCCCGTTCCTAAGATATTAGCTTTTGAAGAGCGTCCCCACGGCCGGCCGGCCGGCCGGCCGCTCATACTCAGAATTTTCCCTTAATTCAGTATGAGACTCCGCTCGCTTCGCTCGCTCCGTAATAAGGATTGCTCTTTGTGACTTTGGCAAAACAAAGTCAAGTAATTGCCATTCCAACTCATTAGGCCTTTCATTCGAATTGACAGCTTTTATTCATGGATCAATCAAAAAACAAAATAGGGTCGACCTTTTAGACGGTTTTAACTTTAAGGCGGCTGCACTTGTAAACAAAATTGAGGTACATTTTTTGTCACGCTTTCTCTCGAAAATTAACAAAAGCAACTAAAGTGATACTTTTTAATTTGATTGAACGTCATTTTGGGAATCGAATAAACTTGTTTCAAAATGATCTTAAAAATAAGATGAACGTACAAAATAGCTTCTGGCTTACGCTTATTTTCGTATTAATTTTTTGCCAGCGTGCAAAGAAAACTGACAAATAACAACGCAGCACAATTTCCTTCTTCACTCTATTGGGAGCGAGGAGCCGTGGATGAATGGCTGAGTGGGTCTGACGAGGCAGAGTTAGCAGTGAACCAGCTCTGAAAGCAGCTTAGAAGGGCCCTTGTTATTCGATTGGTCGTCAATAAGATTACAGCGGGCCGACTAGCTTAGTTAGAATCAGTTCTCGACAGCCGGCCTCGCCAAGCCTGATGAAGACAGATGCAGCGCGAATTCCATTATATGGAACGCTGCTATTGAAAGCATATCGACAGGATCAAACTGCTGCATAGTTGAGCTGTCAAGCGTGAAAGTAACTCGACTACATAGATTAATTAGCTTGCCAAGTAGGGAGCAGGATATGCTTCTGAATCTCATACACTTCAGCATTATTGCTAAAAAAAAATATGCTGGGAAATGCCACCGAATTTACTACCAAGATCGTTGTAAAATGCATTTTTCATGACATTGCAGTAGGTACTGCAATGCCAATGCAAAACGAAATATTTTCTCATCTTGGATACGACAACCTCAAAGACAGGACCAGAGAACAACAAGCTTGTTTACGCTGTAACGCAACGCACGATGACACTACGAATGACACTGACGCTACTTTGGAATGAGTTTCAGTCATTTAACCCGCGCGGGGCTGGGGGGGTAAATTTTACCCCCCCCCCTCGCGAATTTTTGCGATATCTTAAAAACGGCGGCGCGCAGCGCCGCCAAACTTTCAGTACCTTTTCTTACATCAATTTGACACGTTCCCTGAAAATTTGAGCGAAATCCGTCGGAAAATTTTTGAAAAATTGACGTTTTAGTGACGTCATGTTCGCCATTTTCGCCTAAAAAACGGCAAAAGTTCAAACGCCGCTAACATCTTCATTTTTAAAGGAATCAAGACGTAACAAAAAAGGTTATGCGTAATTTTACTTTGTCTATCAAATGGCTATCTCGGTTTTTTGAAAATTTTGGATTTTGGCCTAAATTTTTTCAAAAAACTGACTTTTTTGGGAAAATCATTATAAAATCCAAAATTTTGAGTCTATCGAAAAAAACGGAATATATGTCAGAGAAGTGGTCTATGTGCACCTATATACCAAATTTTAGAAGAATCGGTTCAAAAATGTGGGAGTTATTCAAAATTTTATGACGTCACGACACACAAAATTTTTGAAAAATGACTTTTTTGGAAGTTCTAGACCTCGTACGGAAACAAAAATAGCACCATTCGATTCGCCGTGAAAAACTGCATCAGATAGACACCTTTTTAGGCCTTAACAACCAACTTCAAAATTTGACCTCACTTGACCTGACCTTGACCTGACCTCGACCTGAAATTCATCCAGAGGTGGTCCATATCACTTATTGAGTGTGCCTATTGAATTCTATGAGTAAAATGACCCATAAAACATGTGTCGCACATGCCCTTTTCTATATTTTGTTTTTTGGTGACCTGACCTGACCTGACCTGACCTTGACCTTGACCTCTGAATGATATTGTATGCAACGAATATTGTCTTGGTAGCCTAAGAACACGTTTTGGGCGATCAGTCTCAGTCCATGACTCCATTCTTCGGCAACTACGGCGCAAGGCCGATACTGTAGAAACTTGCAATTTGTACCCTTGACCTGACCTTGACCTTGACCTCAAACTTTAAATTAAGTACATGTTTTTAGTAGTTCGTGATGAGAGCTTTCGATTGGCGTTTGAATTTTCCAAATCGGACCATTAGTTCGGGAGATAACAGGGGGGTAAAATTTACCCCCCCCCCCCAGCCCCGCGCGTTCGGCTGGAGACCCCAGCCCCGCGCGGGTTAAGATCGCAAGTTTTGCTAGCTGTGTGACTGGATTCCGGGGCCAATGTGTTTACCGCAACTGCAGCCGTCCGGTCTGCTGAGTTAATGTGATAAGTTGCCGCAATCAGAGTCGTAATCAGATGCAGTTAGTCACTTGCCACAGTTGTTAGTTTTGTGTGACAAGTGTAAGACCAGCGTTAAAGCTGCAAACGATCGTGATGGATAATGCAGTCTCGGCAGAACGTCTCAACCAACGAATTTAGTCGTACAGCGTAATTCGTAACGCATTTTTAAACCTTTTCATTAGCACGACTTTTGAACGGTGCTTGACCCTGCGCCGCCATTGTCAGTTACCCCTAGCTCATAGCTTCCCTTTCTCCCTTGTAATGAGGCTGCAAAAAGCATTGTGATTCGTAAAATCGTAGATTGACAGACTATGGTATGCTGCTTTGATACCGTTTAAAGATGTCTCTCATCACTACCACTAAAGGCTGAAACAGACTCTTTCCGCGTTCAGGAAATCGCATGCGAGAGCCTATTCAAATACATTGTAATTCTTCTCGCATCAATCGCTTGCGGGAGGTGCGTGCGATTAATGCGAGCGTGCTTCCATGTATTTGAATAGGCTCTCGCATGCGATTTCCTGACTGCGGAAAGAGTCTGTTTCAGGCATTAAAGTCGTTTTAATCGTAATGAAGAAAAGTCCGCCGCTGAAGGCCGTTTTAATCATGAAGGGGAGAAGTCCTCCGTTCGAAGTCCGTCGACCGCCAAACGTCCTCGCACTTCACTGAAGATCTCTGCCTGTCCGGTGTCCGCCGGTCCGCCGGTCTACTGATGGTCTCCGCCTATCCCTTCTGGTCCGCACGGTCCGCTGATGGCCTCTGCTGGTCCGGCAGTCCGCTCTGTCCACCGATCAGGGTCCGCTGGTCCCTGCTGGTCCGCCCGGTCCGCCGGAGACGACTCGGGATCGATCCGCCGCCAGTCGCCGAGTTTGCATTGGCTTGAATGCTGGCCGCGCTGTCAGAGTCCGTGATCGCTATTGATTGTGACCCGCCCCTCTCCGTGGGACTAGCACATTCCCCCTGACTGCTCTCCCTCGTCTGCGCGCACTGGGATGGCTTAGCTGTCCTCAAAGTGCGCCGTGCAGCCAGCGACGCGGTGCTGGTCGGCGCAGCTTACAGTTTCGACGCTAGATGGCACTGGTGGTTAGCGCCTGGGATGTATGCTGTACCGCATAGCTTGGTGGCCGTATTTGGCGATGACTGGAGTTTCGGGCAAATTAGGGGATCAGCTGTTGCAAGCTGGATATTTTAATGAACGTGAGCTGCCTTTGTGACATTTTTTGTTGTGTAGCCACGTTGACAGCTTGTGTAAGAAAATACGATCACAATTGGAAGGGCTCCATTACCTTCATAGTTCACAGCTAGTTGGGTTTCCTGGACATACAAGATGAATGTTTTCATCATAATTAATTGGTTTCTCCCTTTAATGGCAAAATGGTGTAATGCTTGTTTCCAGATGTCGGCATGTTAGCTGCTCCCTGTAAGCGATAAAGTCTGTTAGCGTCTTGCTTGGTAAAGTTTCAGCATATATCAATTTAGTTATTAGTCAGCTCTGGTCTCGAGGCACAGAACAGCAGCGCTATCTGCGGCAGACGCCATTTGACTTCCTTATTGACATGATAGGCACTCTAAAATACAACATATCCATTTGAGTATTTGGCCATTTTACCAGAGTCGGCGGTCAGTCTGATGGGTTGTGCCCTCATGTGTCTCCACAAGTAGTTAAGCCCGTAGGCTGATGTATTCGGCTCTCAGAATGTTGCCACTGCTCGTTACTCAACAGGCTGGCTGTTCTCAAATTGACCACGTGACTGCGTGCCTCTGCAGACGAATAATTGAGCCGGAAATATGCACACTATTATCCGATGCACGCCAGAGCACACGCTGTGCATCAATTAGCCTAATTGGGGCTCTGCAGAGCGGTTCGAGGCGCCCGCAGTGGGGGCGATCTGCGGCCGGATGCGGCGCACAGGCGCGCTGTCTGGTGTTCATTACACGGAGTTCCGGGACAGTCACACCGGCACCCACGGCCGGCGGACGAGTGCCGCGGCGGCGGGTCGGACTGTCGCGGGAGCGAGCCAGGGCGGTCGGAGGCACGCCGCCACACCACCGCGCCGGCTCGCTTTAATCCCCAACCCTGCAGCCGTGGGCAACGACTCGGCACCGCTCAATGCCGCAGGGTCACGGTAAGCCGGCAGAGAGCGCGGACTCATCTCTTCAATTGCCTGTCTTTGTGCGGCGGATCTGGTCGGCCCACTCCTGCCATCGTCGGTGCGTCGCCCCCAGCCTGCTCCGGGCGCATTGTCCTCTCCGGGCCGGCCGCTAATACGTCTCTTCAGCGCAGCTCTCCATCGGGCCACCCAATGGCTCTCTAATCACACCGCCGGTACCGCACTGCGGGAGGCGTGCGTCGTTAGTCACCGCGCTGCTATTGATGCGCGCCGGCCGGCGCCCACGCACTGGGGGCCGCGCGGCGATCCGGGACGGCCGCCGCGGGACCTCCCGGCCCGGAGACCCCGCCGAGCAGTCGACACCGGAGCCCCGCTGAAAGACGGGGTCACGGACGCGGCGTGAACAAAGAGCCGGCCAAGCGGGGAGGAGGAGTCGGGCAGACCTTCCATCCGCGACAGCGCCAGAGCCGATGTGACTTCAGATCGCTGGGTGGAATGTGAAATGAGGTCGAAGATAAAGTCGGCATACCATAAGATAAACCGGGCTGGATGGAAATGAAGCTAGCGAAGCCAGTGAAGCGAACTCAACTGATACGATACACAGCATTTGCTTAACTTGAGGTGAACAAGTATGCATAATACTTAAAGGAATTCAGTTTAAAACTTTGTTCCTGCCTTTTTCGATCCAGTAAATGATACTGCTAAGGGGAGCGAGTCGAATGAGAAACATTGTAATGAATAGAAAAAGACCTTTTGCTTTTGTTATCAAAAGTGCATAGCTAATATGTAATAAGCCAAACTAAAATCATCGGATATGTGTAAGCAAAGTGCAGCGCTCGTCTGATACCTTGAAACATTTACTTTATTTTGTAAGCACGTCATAAAAGTCGAAACATTACTGGAGTCGGCGGCGCTTTGTCTTTATTACGGTACTTCGGAGCAGCGTTTTTGCTTTCCAGACTAAGCGCTGAACCAAATAGCCATTCTCAGCTTCATCAACATCGTTTCTGGAACGGGGCCCGGCTACATAATGGGAGACGGTATCCGGCCTAACTGAATTATACGGCGCTTCGCGTGTTGCCAGGGCCGACCGAGCGTGAAAGGAGGCGCGCATCCTGCCTTTTCCGGCTCCGGCTCCGGCTCCATATATGCAGGCGGCTGCGAATCGACGCGTGTGACAGAGCGAGAGAGCGGCCGGCCGCGTGACGCCGGCTCTGCCAACATTTGGCTTGATTAAAGAAACCGGCGATCGCTGGCAGCGGGCATTGATTCGGGCTATATCGGGTGACTGCCGCCGTCGGCCGCCGAGTCGCCGCTACCGGGGCCCGTGGGAGGCGCTCGGGCGCAGCCGACACGTGGCCCGCCCAGGCGCACATCATTACCGCCATGGATATTGAGCCACGGCGACAAAAAATTGCCGCGCATCTATCTCACATGCGATTATGTGGCGCAAATGTTTCCCAGAATTACAATAAGCCGAATGACGCACTCGGCTTAATAACTGTTTGGTGAGGCTAAATGATTGTCTTGCTTTGTAGGAAAACCAATTACTGCTTTACGGCGACTCGTCTTGTTAAATGAGTGACGATCGTTACCGCTGACACAGTGTTTGTTCTTGTGGTGCACAGGTGCAGAATTCCGTGTACGAACTGGTGGTCGACATGAACACACGCCAGGAGCTGGCCGACGAGCGTGTCTCGGGCCTGGAGGAGCGGCTGGCCGCCATGCAGGAGCAGCTGGAGCAGCTGCCGGACGTGCTGACGCGCTGTCTGGCGGCGCACCAGGAGCAGCTGGAGCAGCGCCGCCAGCCGCACACGCTGCACCCGGAGATGGCGCTGCAGCGCTCTCCGCCGCGCCACCCGCCCATCACGCGCTCCACCAACGTCACCTCGCTGCCGGCGGCGCCTCCGGTGTCGCGCGCCAACACGGTCAACACGCCGCCGACGGCGCCGCCGCCGCCGCGCCGGACGCTGCCCCCCAGCCAGCGGGGCGGCGGGGCCGAGGCGTGACCGGCGCCGCGCGCCGCGCCGCCGCCAAGTGCCTTGCCCAGAGGAATGAGCTCGTGAGATGAGAGGGATACTTCTGTGATCTAGCGGGCGCCGGACGGAGCGCGCCGCCCGCTGCGTTGCAGCAGCCAACGGACCGCCCCGTTACCATTTCATTCCTAGGCGGGGCGCGCCGCTGCCTGACCGGTGAGGTTGTGATGCGTCGTAGAGCAGTAGCCGCCTGCGCACGCGCGCCGCTTCATTTTAGCGTGAGACAAGTAGCGTCTAGTTTGTTTTACACCTTTAGCGCCGGACGGCCTTACCATGTCCCGTTTTTTGCGCGGGCTTGGCGTCTGCCGGGGCGCTGCGCTGCGGCCGTTTTCAGAGCTGTCCGCAGCGTCTAGCGGCTCTGTTGTTGGTGCTGTTATGAGTGAGATGTGTGCCGACAGTGGGCGAGTGAGGGCCATATGGTGTGATCGACGCGTCCGGTGTGCGCCCGGCCGTCCGGGCTGTACATAGGGGGCAGCCGGCCGGCGGCACGGCCGGCCGGTCGGCTTCTCCGACCTGCAGCAGCTCCCTCTATATGTTGTCGTACTGTTTCGTGTTCCGGTTTAGTTGTAAGTGAGTCTCTCAATGTCACGCCTGGTTCCGTTGCGGCCGGGCGGGTCTCGTGGCGCGCTGCTGGTCCGCCGGCGTTCGCCCGTCGTCCGCTGCCGCTCTGTCCGCTGTCCGCTGTCCGCTGCCGCTCTGGTGTAGCCGCTGTGGCCTGTCCTCTGCCGCTCCGCTCCTCTATACTGCTGCTGCCTACCCCTCTGCACCCGCCGCGACCGTCGGGCACCTCGCCGATACTAGGGACGACGCCTCACGCCGCCGATTTCCGCTCGAAATCAAACGCCTCCTTCACAGCCCTTTCGTGGGCCCTCTCCCCGGAGTTTTGCGAGGCACGGTCACAGCTCTTGCTGTTATCGCCGAATCTCATCTCTCGCGAACGTTACACCATAATGGCACCACACTTCACCTGAGCCTCTCGGATGTTACTGAGATTCGGGACATTTTTAAATGACAGCCAGTCTTACCATATAATAACTTGAAGGACCTCATTTTGTATTCAATCACAAAGCAGTCACAAGCTCAATACCATCTTCCTTTCCACCCAAACATTTCAGTATGAAATCAGCCCGGCCTCGCTTTTGTCGCTAATCAGCTGGCATCGCCCAAAGAGCCTCCTTGTTTCTTCGAGATATCTGCTCCTCCCACCAGTCACAAGAAATACATTATAACACCAGATCGTGCTGTTTATGCAGACGTGCGTGACCGTGTGTAATTTCGCTGTTCCCTCGACCATTGGGGAGGGAAAGTGGCTGACGATCACACTTTCACACTCTGTCTAGCCCGTGACGGCAGCACGTCAGACCGGAGCCGAGTGAAGCGGGCCGGACGCCAACTGACCGGAGCGCGCCGCCACTCGGCCGCGCGGCGACGCCAGCGGCCGCACCAACTGTGACCTGATCTGCATGACTGGCCGCTTTCAGTGGCGCGCGCCGCGGCCCGGCGCCGCCGAAAAAAAAGTCGTTCACACCGCCGGACCGAGAAGAAAAGAACGGGCGGGCGGCGCGGCCGATACGGTCGGTCGTTTCCGGGCGCCATTGGTGGCGCGGCCGCGGCCAAAGCGGCGCACCGTGCCAGATTGGCTGGCCCAGCGCCAGGGAGGCGGCCACTCGCAGAAACGGGCGCAGAAATGAAAAGGCTCAGGTCGTCTTAAGGCATTTGAGATGATGCCAACCTGGGTGCGGTAGAAATGTGTCAAACCTGCATCAAAGTTTGGGTTTGTTTATACGAGCTCTGCAACAGAGGTCAGGTAACGCAATGCGGCAATGAACGATAGCTTTTGAGCTAGTTAGCGGTATGAACGATGAAAATATGTTCCGACGAATATGTTTAGTTCACTGATAGCACGTCAAATGTTCGGCCGTTGTTGACCGGCATATTGGAGGGGTCTTTAGTCTTTACCGTCAACAAAGTTAAAGGAATCGACACACAACCGACTTCCTGGTCTAAGATCCATAAATTCGCTTGGCTACGCAACATATCGGTAAATAGGGCCCTCGTTCAGTAGGTAGGATGACAGCAGAACGACACAATCGGCGTTTTATGATGGCCATGGTAGTCATTTCACAATTCACAACCATAATCGTTATTCCACCGAGCACACACACTACCTAAATACACACACGATGCAAATTGCAGAAGCAATAATCAAAACCTTCATGTAAGACGTGTAGCGTAATTCTTTTGACAGTTTGACACAAAATTAAAGTTGAACTAAAAACGACAGTAATAACTAATATCTGCGAGAAACCGACTGGGAGGCAGAACTACCTCCGCTTTCTAAGACGAACGAGCCGACCGCCTGCGACGGACGAGCCGGCTATGCCGCGCGGAACACATTGCAGCCGCGCGGCAGTCTACGAACGAACCGGCTGCCTGGGTGGTATACTGCACCGCACGGCACGCAGGTCCTGCGGCGCAGTCTACCAGCGCAGGCCACATAGGAACATTGCTCCTCGCCCCCACTCAGGCGCTCTGGCACGATTCAACGATTGGGGGCATAGGCGTCGCCAGAGATTGTCGGTTGGGGGGGCAAAATCAACTTTTGTGTCAAAACTTGCCTTTCCCCAGTCTTTACTCACTCGTTTTACATATCATTCGACGCGCAATGGTGCGAGGAATCCGATGGTGACAAAGGTTTCCTTCTAGCTATGATATGTATTTTTTTACAGAAAAATTCGAAATTTTGAAATTTCATAACAAAACGACTGGTAGAATTATAGTGGCTGCGATTGCCGACGCACTGCAGAGGGCCCCTGTGCAGACGCTCGACGCTCATGATCATTACCCATTAAGAGGTGAAAAACGCTCCATTTAATCGGATCACCCTGCTAGAACCTCCATTCACGCATGCATGCAGAGGTTTTACGTGAAATGCATAGAACTTATCCCAGCCGCCGATCGTAGCTAAGTTGGGCATTTGGCGGAGAGTGAATGTCGGAAGTGTGAATCGGAATTCGGAAGTAATTCATCTTTGCTTCAGTGAGATGAAGTGTTTTGTTCACTCGAGTGTGAACAAAAGTTTCTCGTTTTTCGTGTGAAGGGAAGCGCTGCAAACGCGAACAAAAACTGTTAAACGGAACCAAAAGTAACGCACGGCATAGCGGCAAGGGATCCCGTAGAGATAGGTTTGTGACTTCCAGGCCATTTCAGGCCACTCAGGGTCACTGGCGGATCCTGGGGGGGGTCCACGGGGTCATGACCCCCCCCAAAAGGTCTGAGAGGGTCATTTGACCCCCCCCAAAAGCCGAAGACCTAAATGCGCTATAGACGCCGTCTTGCATGCTCAAAATCACCTGTCAAACACTTCTGAGCTAATACCTTTGTTTTTCTGGATCGTGTTGCGTGAAAAGACGTATTGAAGACCAGAATCTTACTCGTTTTTGTCTCAACCGTGCGAGCACCAGGGGATGATCCAGGAAAACTCCAAGGGGATGGTCATGAATTTAATTCGTGGTGCCCCTACCTATACGCAAAATTAAAAACTCAACGGATTTCGGTCACTTAATTTTGGTGATGTCCTATTTTCATTTTTTATTTTGTTTGTTTTATTTTTAGTGCCCCTGGGCCCTGGCAGGTCAAAATCACGTCTGAGGCGAAAGAAATTCACGGGAATCCCAAAAATCACGTCAGGACATTCAGGGCCCTCTGACCAGCCTGACAGCTAGGGCCCTTCTTACTTCCTGGGGCCTCCAGTGAATAACCGCTAGTGTCTGTGTCTGACCGCTAGGGCCCCTCTGACTCCTCAGTAGGTAGGAGGCCCTCTGTAGAGGAGGTCCTCTGTAGAAAGGAGGCCCTCAGTAGAGAGGAGGCCCCCTGTAGAGAGGAGACCCCTTTAAAGAGGAGGCCCTCTGTAGAGAGGAGACCTGCTGTAGAGAGAAGGCTCTATGTAGAGAGGAGGCCCTGTGTAGAGAGGAGGCCCTCTGTGGAAAGGAGACCGCCTGAATGCAGAAGGCCCTCTGAAGAGTGGAGACCCGCTGTAGAGAAGAGGCCCTCTGAAGAAAGGAGGCCCTCTGTAGAGAAGAGGCCCTCTGAAGAGAGGAGGCCCTTTGCAGAGATGAGGTCCTCTGGCTCTTTGAAGAGAGGAGGCCCTCTGTAAAGGAGGCCCTCTTAAAGGGAGAGACCCTCAGTAGAGAGGAAGCCCTCTGTAGAGAGGAGGCCCTGTAGCTTCTGTAGTTAAGAGGCCCTGTGAAAAGAGGAGGCCCGCAGTAGAGATCGGTGGTCCTCTGTAGAGAGGAGGCCCCCTCTGTGTTTTGACAAATGTTTTTGCAAATTTTTCGCGGCGCTTCGCGCCGCCGATTTATGTACATACGTACAGGTCAATACGAAATCTTGACTGTAATTACATAAACCAACCGTGTCAAATTGAATCAGAATTCATATGTGTGCTGTAAAGGAACTCCGGCTTGTACTGCAATGCTAAAAGGGTGGTAAAATTTGTGTTTTGGAGCTGTGTTTCGACACATTCTTTTGCAAATTTTCTCGGCGCTTCGCGCCGCCGATTTATACACCAATCAATAAGAGAGAAATAACAGTGACTGTAATAACACCAACCGTGTCAAATTGAATCGGAATTCATATGTGTACTGTGAAGGAACTCCGGCTTGTACTAGCATGCTAAAAAGGTTGTAATATTTGTGTTTTAGAGCTGTGTTTTGACAACTTTTTTTTGCAAATTTTTGCGGCGCTTCGCGCCGCCGATTCATACACAGGTCAATAAGAGAGATCGTGACTGTATGCTACTATTTACTAATGCATTAGGCTAAAAGTGAGGTAACTATATCTACTTCTGGGTTTTTAAGTCGGTCGACCCGCCTCCCCCCCCCCCCCAGTAAAAAATCCGTGGCGACGCTCCTATATAGGTGGGTTTCACTAACTAAAACTACTGAGCCGAGTGACTTACGATAAAACTTCATCTTATAAACGACGAAGATCAAATGTCATTTTTTGATCTCGACATACTCGCTCCCTACCCCCCCCCCCCCCGGTCGTCAGAATTCATTCACCAGACCTGGTATGTCGGCCGACTGGTGACCCCCCCCAAAACGACCCCCTAGATCCGCCCTTGCTCAGGGTCAGTGCTGACTCTCAGAAGCCTGCTTAGGATCCCGGAGATCGACGTGGGTCACCTCAAATATTTACGTGTACGTGGTGCTTTAGGGCTTTCCGAGCCCAAGGTGGGGCCCTCAGAAGCAGTGTGGGCGGCGGGCGCTAAAGAGACTAGGCCCAGGGTGAGCCTGGAGCCCTCGGATAGCAGTGTGATTCCTCGGGGTCTGTGTCGAATCCCTAAGGACCCTACGTAGGGACATAATAAACATGTGTTGCGGACCTCAGAGGGACACGTGGGCTGTGACCCCTCAGATGCCGGCTTGGGGTTGGCAAAGTCTGTCGCCTCAAAAATTTGGCTGAACTATCAGAGACCAGTTAAGGTTCTCAGAAATGTTCGAAGGCTCAAAGATCCCTGTATGGGCCCTCAGAGAACATGAACACCAGTGGGACTTTCAGAGGCCGGTTTGGGCCCTCTGAAAGCTTCTTTAGGGCTCACTGGAGCTCCTTAGGAGCCTTTGTTTAAAGCAAGCTCATGAGCCCTGCGACACTTGTACGGTAGGTACTTGAGCCTGTCGCAGACATTTGACGAGTTGAGAAAGGCCCCGAAGATTTCGTTTCACGCTTTGAACGAAAATTGTGTCAGCACTCCAAAACTTATGAAAATCAGCTGTAAAATGTAATAAAGAACGAACTAGGAACATGTAATGAATCACAGCATTGACATTTCCGAGTCTGGACTCGGAGTCTTGAAGATTTTGGCGACTGCGAGTCAGACTCTGGTTTGAACTGCACGCTCAAACCGAGTCTGACCTCACAGGCATTCTCAGAAAGGTACCCCCATTTTTTCCCGACTCCAAAATCTCATCGGATCTGTATCGTTCTCAGGGGGTGCCCGGTCCGAGGTTGGGGGGGCAAGCTGCCCCGCTTGCCCCCCCGTGGCGACGCTAATGATTGGGGGTCCGACCAAAAAATGCAATGCAATACGGAAGTGAAACTAATGGGGGGGTTCGGACCCGCGCGAGCCCTTCCCTCCCCGGTGGCGGAGCCCCTGTCCTCTCTGGTCCAATCAGTATACGAAGTGAAAGGCATTGCCGTTTATTGGTTTTCCAACATTGAATCTTAATAATTTGTATGGATAACATGTTAAAGTGAGCTGTACGGAGTAGGGACTGGGGTAAGGTCTAAGGACTAAGGACTGTTTGTCTTTAGGTTGTCTTGTCAGGCAAAAAAAAACTCGCAGCGCTCAGAATTTATATACGGCTTACGGCATAGAAAATGAAGCTGTAACTCGTAACATGAAATCATTAGCCTCACCAGATCATTTATCATATGAAATCATGCCGGAAGTGGTAAAGTGGTAAAGTGCAAGCAGCGTGTTTGACAAGACCGCAGCACGAGTGCAGCACTCGTGCTGTGTACAGCCCCCGGATTTCCTGTAGGTAACTCTGCCACAAACATTTGTTTATTTTCTCTTTTATGAATGGTATCCGAAATCGCAAATAATTTCGGATGTCGATGCGACTAAGACTTAAAGGGACCCTCCCACCTTAACATTAGTTTTGAGTTGAGATAGCCAAGTTTGCGGCCAGGCTCAGAAACCACCATTTATCCTGGTCGCAACCCCCGCAGCTTTATGGTGTTCAAGAAATTTCTTCCCTTTACTTGCAGGGTGGGACCAGCGTGGGACAATATTTCTTATTTGGCTGCATTACAAAGGCTCAGGGAGAGTGGGACAAAAAGGTCGCCCACCGACATACATGACGTAGGGGCGCGGGCTACGCAATTATGCCCACAGTTAAAATGTAACCGTCTGTCACTATTCCGCTTGGTTCCAATGTGTGGCTGCTGCATTCAGTGTAAGCATTCGCAATCGATCCCCTTGGAGCCTTCCCCATGGCCGCGATCTTCCAGGTACGCCGGCACGTCTGTCAAGTTCCCAGACCCCAATAGGTTGGAGTAGCATCGTGAAATCGAATAGTAGCGAGAGCGTCGGGCACCAAAACTACAGCGTAGATAGGCATAAAATACGGTCGGTTACCATCACACATTAGTCGGGCGGCTGATAATAGATGGGTATGACGGTAACTTTAACAAATGCTGCTATGCTTATGCGAACCGTCCAGATTGGCAAACAAATCGTTCTTTCTAGCATGACTTTCCAAGTCGGAAGTCGCATTCCAGTGGCATTCGATGTCAGCGTAAATAAAGTACCTACTGTCTTTACTCTCGCACATCACCTCATATTTGTGGTTCTTTAGCAAATCCCACCAGCTGCGCCTTCCTCATGAGTCATTACCCATAGTAGGTATTATCGACAGTCGACACAACCTGCTGACCCAACACTCCTCGCAGCTGAAGAGGACGGATCAGTCTGCACCGAACCATAGGCGGCGGAACGGGGGGAGGGCACCCTGCCCCCCTTTGATTTTGGCATTTTAACATTAGCCCTATGGGCGTTGCATGGAAAGAATGGGACCAAAAGTCGGCAGTGCCCCCCCCCCCCTTAACCCACGAGCCGCTGGGGGGGGCATAAAGTTGCCCCCCCCCTTTACGTTTGGTGTAATATCTCCGAAACCGGATAAAATACGAAGCTGAAACTTGGCATAGCTTCAAATGAATACCTAGCGCATATTTGAGGAAAGTATGGTGGTAGTAGCTCTTAAGATGACGTCACAGTGACGTCATAAAGTTTTGTCGTTTTCCAATACGGAGCGTTTCCGATGTCGCTGAGCATGAAACGCGGCGGTAAATGAAGCAAACAGCACCTGCTGTCATTCTGACACGTCTAAGTACACTGTTAACTATATCCTGACCAGTTATCGGTCCTATATTCTAGGCCTCATATGTCGGATATATCGTGAGGAAACTAAGGGACGCCAATCTACGATTGGGCTTCTGACGTCACTGTGACGTCATTTCAAATGGGATCGACACCAAATTCGGACACAACCTCGGCTAGGTATTCAGGAATACGTGTGCAAAGTTTCGTTTCTCTATCTCTTCGCGTTGCGACGATATCGTCGGAAAAGTAAAGGGGGGCAACTATATGCCCCCCCCCCCAGCGGCTGGCGGGTGGCGCGGAGGCCCAGCGGCCGCCGGGTTAATTGAAGGTGTTCCGCCGCTACTGCACCGAACCCCCTCCCCCCCCCCCCAACCGGCAGAAAACATTCACCTGAGTCCTGACGGCTTAACACAGTCCGCACCGGCCCAACCCTCAACCGGCAGAAACCATCCACCAGACGCCGATCGTTTCCGCGTGGTGAGCGGCGGTCCGGGACCAGTCAGCTGTCCCAGGACGCCGGACGGTCCTCAGACCATGGCCAGCTGTGGCCACCTAGACCACAGCCAAGTCAAACTGAGTTGTCACCTAGACCGAGGCCAACAGTCCCCGCATCACGGCCAAACTCGAAGGCTAGTGTCCAACTCCAACGATATGAAATGGGTTCGAAGGATGTCTAGGATCGCCAAAATGGAAGGTGACTGGTGACCCTGAATGTACCTATCCCATGGGCCATGGTCCATTTCTCGGGTGCCCGGAGTGCCTATTTGGTGGACATTTTCAAACGTCCCTGAAGGAACAGTCTACTTTAGGAAAACACAACCTTGCAACAACAACCCGAGAGCGATTCAATAAGCCATCGCCTTGACGGTGGTACAATCATAAAACATCAAGGATTGTTAAATTGATTACCTATGTAACTGTACCTAACTGTCGTTCAGGAGTCCGAAACCGAGTTAGAGAGGTGCAATAACATCTCCCTGCCAGGGCGTGGGTCAAGCAAGCCACGGCGAGGCCGACGTACGGTCTCCTTACGGTCCGGCAGCCGACAGAGGAGTCAGTCAAATGGGTGACACGGTATCATGTGCCGTTCGTGGTCCATGGACAGATTCCATCCAATCAACGCACTCTTTTTTTCAATGCGACGAGCGGTCCTACGTTCGTACAGTTCTATGTCTTTCGTTCCTGCAGCACAGCATTCGGCAAGGAAGTAAAGGTTTGTAACTGCATACGACATTCAAAAAGACAGACCAAATGTTAGCGAGTGTCATACCTAAGTATAAGGTATGTGCCGTTTATTACACCAGCTAACGAACAGCGAGACAAATGAAGCAATGGGCCTTAGCATTGAACTGCGGTGCCTCTCACACAAATAACTCAACTGTTACTTATCGGATTCTTGACTGATGTGAGCGTTAATCAAATCCAGGAAATGGAGGCACGTGTCCAAACTCGGGCAGTCAAGCGGCAGCAGTGGATTCCTCCATTCGCAAATCGCCGTAAATCACCGGGACGAATACGTAACGGGAAGATGAGCGGTCCCGGACGACAACAGAAAACGATGAGCTCTATATATAGCCGATGAATAACATATTAAATTACGATTCAACTTCTAAATTATACTGAACTTGCCAAAAAGGCATCAAATAAACAACAAACACCCATCAATCACGACAAATCATGAATCAACCAATGCTCTGTTGCCCGAGACATTGTGAAAGCTCATTAAGATATGTACCCTGTTTTGAGAATTGATACAACTCATTACAAATCACAGCCAGGAATAACTCATACCGTCAAAAAAGCAATATGGCAAGAAAGTCGGCAGCTAAGCTCACACGACTAATAACCAAATATCACAAAGCAGGCGAATATGCATGCCAATACTTCAAACAGAAATTGATAACTAACTAACGCTCTCATAAATTTGTAACACAAAAATTACTTAACACGTCAAAACTCATTAGCGCTCTTGCGCTCACACCATAAAATTTGCGCCGAAAGTCATATAATCGATGTCAGCCCGTCTTTTTTACGGCGTCACATCTATGAATGTATGTAGTGTTCCTACCTACACCCACTATCTGGCTACACATAGCACGTATGTAGAGGGTGGCGGCCGGCCAGGGCTCACTGCACCCTAGAGCCGAGCCGGCGCCACTTTGGCACAGACCAGTAGCCGTCCACATAGGCTGGGCACATAGACCAGTAGCCATCCACATTCCACATAGGCTGGAGATAGGCAGCGGTGTCAGAACCTGAGCAATCACATGGTGAACAAACTCAACTCAGGGGTAGCAACTGAAAGCCTGTTAGCCTACGACAAAGATTACACCAAGACTTTGGTGCTCAGGACAGTAATGAACGTTGTAGCACAACAACACATTAAGCTGCAGTGAAGCTAGAGCCTATCTGTCAGGTAGACAGACATTTACATTCAGCTCAGAGACATGAACCTCTGCACGAATATCACTCTGATAAATAGTCAAATGTCTTCAGTCGCTCCTTCCAGTTCCATTTAGCGTCTTTCAGACCACTGCTTGCCTCGGCAGCTTGGCACCCTGTCCCTTACTGTATCACTTTTGGACTGATCTAATCAGTCTGCTCAGTTCTGGCCCTGTCCGGTTCGGCAATATGACAGGACGCTCATCGGCCACTGACTAGAAGACCAGACTATTGTGGCGATTTCATCACTGCTCTCTCGATAACCCCGTCCCCACCAACACAGTCCTACACCCAGCACTCTCGTTTCCTTTCGCACGCTCACTCCCAGAAGCGTCTTCACAGCCCCTCCTCCTCGACTTCCTGTTCGATCTTCACCTCGCACTCTATCCGCCCTACCTTCACATCCTCGAGCACCCCGGGCTGGCGTCCGCGCCCCGCGGGGTAGCCGTCCGTGGTGTACCTCATGTGCCTCTGGCTCCGGTGTCGCGCAAACCAGCGCACGCTCTTGTACACCTGGCCACAGTCGGACTCGGGACACTGGAACGGACCGCTGTCCCGGTGACACTTCTCGTAGTGCTGTATGAACTTGGCCGCCCGGCGAAACTCGGTGTCGCACTCCAGACACCAGACAGACGGGAGGCGCGTGTGAAACCGCTGTACGTGGTAGGCCGCCGAGCGCTCAGAAACGAAACGCTTACCGCACTCCGAGCACGAGAAGCGCTTGCCGACCACGTGCTGACGCACCATGTGACGTTGAAGGCAGCGATGGGACTTGAAACGCTTGCCACACTCGCACTTGAAGGTCTTCTCTTCATTGTGGGTATGCATGTGCTTGGTCAGGTAGTGGGAGAACTTAAAGAGCTTGTTGCACTTTTCGCACTTAAAGGTGGGTTTTTTGGTGTGAGTGAGCATATGGGTCGCGAGGTAATATTTTGCCTTGAAAGCCTTATCCGGGCAGATGGAGCACTTGAATGGACGCTGGGCCGAGTGCACCAGTTTGTGTCTCAGCATGGCCATCTGGTCGAAAAAGGTCTGGTTGCACAGGTCACACTTAATCGGCCGCTCACCGACGTGCACTCGACGCACGTGCACACGCATTACGCCCGGTTTCGTGAACGTACGGTCGCAGTGCGGACATTCGTGGCCCTTCTCCTTGCTGTGCTTATTCTTGACGTGCGTGCGCAGACTGGAGCCTTCGCGCGCCGCGAACTGGCAGCCCTCCACGTCGCACTTGTACGGCCGGTCGCCCGTGTGAATGCGCTCGTGGGCCTGCAGCGAGAACTGCGAACGGAACGACTTGTCGCAGAAACGGCACTGCTGCGGCTTCTCGCCCGTGTGGGTCATGTGATGCAGCCGCATGTTCGCGGCGAACTTGAACCCCTTGGCGCACACCGGACACTTGTGAGGACGCGCCTTGCTGTGAGCCTGGTAGACGTGGCGCGCCAAGTACTTGCTGGTGGCGAAGGACTTGCCGCACAGCCGACACTCGTAGTCCTTCACGCCCGAGTGCAGGCTGATGTGCGTCCGAAAGTAGCAGAGCTCTCCGTACAGCACCTTGCGGCAAACGGGACAGCGGCGGCCGGCACCGCTCTCGTGGTCGGACATGTGCTCTTCGAACGCGTCAGCCGAGGGCAGCGTCACCCGGCAGCGGGCGCAGCGCCACCGCGACGGGCCACCGCTGGCCGCGAGAGGCCCGTCACCCGCCGTGTCACTGCGGACCGTACGGGGCCTGCCACGCCGTCTAGCACCCATCGGGCCGCCACCGGCAGCTGGGAGTCTGTCGTCCGCCGTATCACTGCGGACCGTACGGGGCCTGCCGCGCCGTCTGCCGCCGGCCGCGGAGGGCCCGTCGTCCGCCGTATCACTGCGGACCGTACGGGGCCTGCCACGCCGCTTGCCGCCGGCCGCAGAGGGCCCGTCACCCGCCAGACCACTGCGGACCGTGCGGGGCCTGCCGCGCCGTCTGCCGCCAGTCGCACCCTCCGGTCCGGCGGTACCGGAGTGAGACGGTCGCGCATCATCGGCGTCCAACTGCGGCACGTCCTCCGAGGTCGGCAGCAGCGGGCCGCAGCCGAGGTCGGGCGCCGTTTCAGTCTTGATGAACAGGCAGGGGGAGTCGACCCCGGCCGGCGTGACCGAGCCCACGGCGGCCAGCACCAGCCGCAGGTCATCGGGGTCGTCCGGCTCGCTCAGAGGCTCCTCCTTCACCTCCAGCTTCGGAAAGACGTTCAGATCCTCCGCTGGGCTCAGGGCACTGCCAACAGTCTCCTCTGACCTCAGGACAGGATCCGGGTCCTCCTCCGGCCGCTGAGCAGCATCTGGATCCTCTGACCGCTGGCGCCGACGCCGCGGCATCGTGCTCTCTTGCCCAGCTGAGAAACATGGGGAGTGAAACACCATCTAATCCACTGACTGTCAGGTAAGTACCTACTGGATCTTCACTTGGATTCTAACATCCTTTATTGCATCTGTACAAGTGGGTAACACAATATCTATGATCAGCAGACAGTAGCACACTGAAGAGTGAAGCTCCCTCACATAACTTACAGAGCAAAGCTGAGCATCAATGTTATGGAATGTTACCAAGTTGAAACAAATTATATGCATTGGTTTATTATTTGACCCCCTCCCCCCACAAAAAGTTAATAGTTCCAGCAAATTACCAGAAAACAGCAATATCCCAGGTTAGGAAAACCTGTGACAATTTGAAAACTAGGCTGAAGGCTCCAGTATGACCAATATAAAATGTATTTTCACAGACCTTATAAGTTATAACAGTTTGCTTATGCACAGGTTCTTCTTACAACCCTGGAGTAAAGAAACCTTACTGAAAATATCATCAAATAGGTACCTAGCAATGGCTTCCCAAATGATGTCAGTGGGACAGGCATACTGGGGTCAAATGTTCATGTGAACCAAATGTGGAGCTGGTGCCCTTGGTGGTGGTGCGAAATGGACCTGTAGACGGCGGGCTGTTAGAAAATATAGGGAGATATTTGAAGCATGTGTTGCACCAACCTTATACCTACAGAAGACCTGCAAGTTGCATATCATGACAACCTAGTGGAAGTAGTGAAAATGGAAATATCTTATTTGAAGAGATGCAAAGATGAAAGAAGGAACCAAATGATAAATGCATAGGACCCTTTATTATTTGTATAGAGGTAAAAAAAGTGAAGCCAAGCTATCATGATGATGTTAAACAATCATCAGAAATAATTAGCAGGATAATGATTAAATGAAACGACAAAAACTTACCATTCATCTCTAAATCTGCCCAGGGGCTCAAATAAGATGTAAGGAATTTGTAAAATGTGGTAAAATGAGTAACTGAATAATTATTCAACCAATTTTCAAGGAAAAACAAAAATGTTAACATCAAATCATGCCTTCATGCAATCAACAACACAATAATACAAGCACCACATCCTGATTCACAAATTCTATCTTTTAACTTGTCATGACTTGTCCTTGATATTTCAATTTGACACCACATTTGACACACACATTATTTGACACCATATTTGCACCATATTTGACACAACGTACAGGTGCCAATTCAACTAAACGAAAATAAGCTCTGCATTGCGGTACCTGTCGTCGCCGAACGCCTTGCTCAATACAAAAATGATAATTTTGCTCACAGTATATCCCAAGTGACTCTTTAGTGCCCAAGAAACTGAAAGCCTTTCCATTAAAAAAAATTGACATCAGTGACACTGAACCGACTGAACGGCTTGCAAGAATGGGTCGCACCGGACCGACGTAATCACTTACCAGTCAATGGTTCAATGAACACAGGTTCTCAACCGAGACTGTAGAACTGTCTCGATCAATAAGAAGAGAACGGCGGGATCAGAATGACGATGATATGCAATGATAGTGGTGGTCAAGGTGGTGGCATGAATAATGAAAAACGTTAGCTCCAGATGTCGTTGCAGGCCGCGATAGATGTCGCTGCAGTCGACCTCCGATCGTACACTGCTCTGTTTGCTCGGTTTGCTCACACTCAGTTGGCTCTCCGCAATGTGTTCAATTTCAGTTTTCACATTTAGGCTAGGGTATCTGATTTATCAATAGATAAACAAATCAGCTAATTAGTGAAGCGGCCGTGACTTAGCAAAATGCCGATCGCCCCGGCCCCCGTACTGTCCATCTGCCCTTCCGTCCAGCACGCTGATTGGCTACGGACCTTCGCCACCAAAGTCCAAAACCAAACTGTCAGCGCGACTGTGAACTGATTTATTTACCACATGACCCATTAAAACAACGTCCCGGCCCGGGGCCGAGAGGTCAGCCGGCGGACCCGTCCGATGAAGTAACAACTGAGCGTCGCCCGGGGCGCGGCAGACGCCCGACGGGCGCCGATTTCGGGCGAGACGGGCGGCGAGGAATGTGGCCGACCAGACGGCCGACTAGAGGAGAGAGGGAGGGGGTCGGACGACAGTCAAACACCGGGATTTGCCAGTCCGCGCCACTGGCAGAGACATCTGACGGCGCCGCCGAGAAGCACAGGTTCACATCGCACACCGAGGGGGCGGTCACATCGGGAGCCAATCAAGCGGCCGCTAGCACGCCAACAAACAAACGACCTACACCGCCACACTGACGCTCACGCCACCGACACTAACCAAGGAAGCGTTATAATCTATTGGAATAACATAAAAATATATGCGCGTTTATGCACGTCCGCGGCTATGTCATTTACCGTTCGCTGTTACAGATACATGCGATTAAATCACATTGGGTCGAGGGTGCGCATCGCTCGTCGGTCCGTGCGGGCTCTGCCGCCGGGCCGGTCCGCCCCGCAGGAGGCGCGGCCGACCGCCGGGCGCGTGGGTAAGCGCGCTACGCTGTGTGAGTCCTGTGTGTGTCTATGCGTGTATATCACATATGACAAAGTTCGCCCGACGCTGGCACCTCTCATATGGTCCTGTCGGACCGACGCTGCCTGAAAGGTCAGCAGTCACCCGGGACCCGCTGGGAGCCCGTCGACGGCCCTCTGGGAGGCCGCAGAGCCCATAGGGCGCCGGCCGGTGACCCCGGCACACCCCACCCCCACACTAAAGCACTCCGGGGTGTGTGTGTATGTGTGTGTGCCCCGCCGGTCCGCGGGGTCCCGCCGTGCCTGACCGAGCAGTGCGGCGCGGCTAGCACGAGCAGTTCTCCTTGGCTGTGGACGCCTGGGCGGTGAGCGTGGTGGCGCGGCCGCCCTGCTGGCTCGGCTTGTGCTGCACGCCCGACTCGGCCGCGTTCAGGTCCAGACTGCCGTCCTGGATGTTCTGGTAGATCTTCTTGGCCGTCTCCAGAAACGCCTCCTCGACGTTGTTACCGCTGACGGGGGACGGCAGGCGAACGGTTACTTGGAGGATAACGGGCATGCCGTACTTCATACACGTCGATTCAACGACGAACCGAAACAGTAGCGGCGGAACACCTTCAATTGAGGGGGGGGGGGGCACTGCCGACTTTTGGTCCCATTCTTTCCATGCAACGCCCATAGGGCTAATGTTAAAATGGCAAAATCAAGGGGGACACGGTGCCCCCCCCCCCCCGTCCGCCGCCTATGAACCGAAAGCCCATCAAACCATTTATCAGTTCTATTCTACTGGCATATCGTTACTCACGTTTTGGCGCTAGCTTCGACAAACATGAGTCCATTCTCGTCAGCGAACTGCTGGGCCTCTTCGAACGTGACGTCCCGCTGGGCCTCCAGGTCACACTTGTTCCCTATCAGAAATATCACCTGGGAAACATAGCACAGGTCCTCCAGGTCACACCTGTTCCCTATCAGGGATATCATCTCGAATGAAACGAGCTTTTAAGCATTGGTCTCAATCATGGTAAGCACGGAGAATGAGACCCTATCATTATCTATGTAAACAAACGAGCAAAAACATGGTAGGCAAACCAGCGATAACAGATAAGTTCCGAGTAGGATATCAATTCATCTAATTAAGAAAAAGTGGGAAATAATCATTGTACATCCACCTGGATGTACAATGATTATTTCCCACTTTTTCTTCCATGACAATGGAAGAAAAAGTGTCACAAGTGACAATGTTGATGTTGACATCAACATCAACAATTTGGTGGGCAATTCCATGACAGATCACCTAGGCATGTTCACCATGACCTCTCCGATTTTGCTCAAATTTGGCATGCAAGTTGACCTATGGGCACTACTACGTCCCAGTGAATTTTTAGTCTCTAGGTCACAGGGGTCATGAGATATGGATCATGCAAATTTTAAGGTTTCCCGGAATATTGAAATATAAAGTATTTTTTATCTCTGCAACGGTTCACCGTATCAAAAAAAGTTATATATGAAATAATAAGCGCACAGGCTGTTGCGTCTAGCAAAAATGTGAACGAAACCTCAGGGTCATTTTTTGACCAATTTGACCTTGTGACCTTTTCTTGACCCTGTGACCTTTCAGATTTCTCCTATTTTAAAAATTCTGATTTTTTCTTTCACAGATGTCTTATCCATGCTCTTAATAGTGGTATGTGATTTGGTTGGTATATCGGACCTGTTGACCTCAAACTGAGGTCAACAATGTGGTCATGACCTGACATGAAAATGACATCTGCCGAGAACGTCATGAATCATAGGCAATATGGGTGTCATATGAAAGCTTACTTCACGGAGAATACATTGGTGGTGTTTTTGAGTAGGTATGGGCCGGGTCAAGGTCACATTAGGTCAGTGACCTAACACAGCATTGTGTTCTTTGAAGGTGGCGTATTTTATTTGTTTGGTAAGTCCAGTGATCAGCATGCAATAAAAAGGAAACAAAACGTCATAAAACGTCTTTTTTATTCAAAAAGCAGAGATAAAATGCACACATACCCATATAAACACACTCGCAAAAACACACATTCATACACCTTGTTCGAGGAAGTTCTTTCAAACAAACCCCAGTGACACACGCGCTGTGAAGAACGAGTCTCAGAAGACTCGGACAGCTTGAAGGCTGCTATGGTATTGGAGTCGAGCAGTACAAAGCGGTGAAACGTCCTGGTACCCTTCACCATGCGGGCACTTGTGAAACGTTCTTTCATTTTTGTCTTCGTTTCTGCTATTTGCGTTGCGGGAGCTGACGCGGGAGCTGAAGCGGCATTTCAGGCAGTGGTTATTCCCCACATTTGAAATGAATGCCCAAGACTAAAAAATACACTACTTTTCTGACGGAGCAGCGTCCCAGTACAAGAACAATACAATTTTGCAAATATATGTCATCATGCCGAGGATTTCGGTGTTCAATGGGAGTGGATTTTTTGCCACCTCGCATGGCAAAAGCGCATGCGATGGTATTGGTAATACTGTGAGGACCACCTTACCGATAAAATGCATTTCTTCTTCGTTTCGGCAACGCAAATAGCAGGAACGAAGACGAAAATGAAAGAGAACGGTTCACAAGTGCCCGCACGGTGAAGGGTAGGTAGTAGGTACCAGGACGTTTCACCGCTTTGTACCGCTCGACTCCCACACCATAGCAGCCTTCAAGCTCTCCGAGTCTTCTGAGACTCGTTCTTCACACCGCGTGTGTTACTGAGGTTTGTTTGAAAGATCTTCCTCGAACAAGGTGTATGTATGTGTGTGTGTGTTTGTGCGAGTGTGTGTATATGGGTGAATGCATTTTATCTGTACTTTTTGAATAAAGACAGACGGTGTTTTATGACGTTTTGTTTCCTTTTTATTGCGTGCTGATCACTGGGCTTACCAAACAAATAAAATACGCCACCTTCAAAGAACACAATGCTGTGTTAGGTCACTGACCTAATGTGACCTTGACCCGGCCCATACCTACTCAAAAACACCACCAATGTATTCTTCGGGAAGTAAGCTTTCATATGACACCCATATTGCCTATGATTCTCGACGTTCTCGGCAGATGTCATTTTCATGTCAGGTCATGACCACATTGTTGACCTCAGTTTGAGGTCAACGGGTCCGATATACCAACCAAATCACATACCACTATTAAGAGCATGGATAAGACATCTCTGATAGAAAAAATCAGAATTTTTAAAATAGGACAAATTTGAAAGGTCACGGGGTCAAGAAAAGGTCACGAGGTCAAAGGGTCAAAAAATGACCCTGGGGTTTCGTTCACACTTTTGCTAGACGCACCAGCCTTTGCGCTTCTTATTTCATATATAACTTTTTTTGATCCGGTGAACCGTTGCAGAGATAAAAAATACTTTATATTTCAATGTTCCGGAAAATCTAAAAATTTGCATGACCCATATCTCATGACCCCTGTGACCTAGAGACTAAAAATTTACTGGGACGAAGTAGTGCCCATAGGTCAACTTATATGCCAAATTTGAGCAAAATCGGAGAGGTCATGGTGAACAATTGGAAAAAAATTAGGTGATTTGTCGTGGAATTGCCACTTGGGAAAAACACGTTAAAATAAATAAACGGCCACACAATGAGCGCCGGGTGCCCTTTGGAAGCCTTCAGTGCAGCGAAAACTGGTCTGTCGCAAACAACGGTCATAAAATCATCAAACCAAACACAGTTCAGAAAG